AATAATGCACACCCGAGGTGGGTATGTTACACCTCGGGTGTGCATTATTTTTCTAATAATTCAACGGCCCAGAGTCAATTATTCCACTTATACTATGGTTGCCACATCTCAAGACATCAATCAGATTATACATACAATTGTCGATTTGTATATTTTTATTCCTTATTTACTTGTTCTATTTTATTTTTTATTTTTTATTATCTGTGTTTTTTGTTCTGTCACTGTCATTCTGTTACACTGCGGAAGCTTCTGTCACGAAAACAAATTCCTTGTTGTAATGTGGGGTTTGGGTTTTGTTTTTGTTTCATGTTCATGTCCATGTCTTTTATTTTGTAATTGTTTTATGCTGTTTGTGTCATACTTCCCTTGCCTTCATGTATCTCAGCCTTGTGTATGTGTCATGTTCTGATTGGTTGTTTTAGTCATGTGTCTTGTTTCCCATTGGTTTGTTCTTGTCATGTGACCCTCTTGTTTCCTATAAGTAGCCATCATGTTGCATTGTCTGTCGTCGTGTATTGAATGTATTTATCCCGCTGTTGGTGAGTCTAGTCTGTTCATGTCAAGTCTGTTCATGCCTCGTCAAGTCAAGTCTGTTCATGTCAAGTCAAGTCTCGGATTATTGTTTGGATGTTTGGATCACACTGTAAATAAACTGCACTTGGGTTCTTCACTACTCTCGCCTTCAGTGGACTGATTCGTTACAGGTGTTTAAGTTTAAAATAATTCTAAAAGCTTGAAATTTAGGTTTTACAAGCCATACATAGGTATTTACTGTTTGTGTGTGGGTGGGTGGATGGATGGATTGTTTTGGATAGTTGTTGTGGCATTTCTAGGGTATTTGTAGTCAGTTGCTTTTGGTATCTTGGATAGATAGTTACAGAGAATATCAGAGCGTCTACATAGAAAATTAAAGGGAGGCATACAAATTCTGACAACCCAAACTTTACTGCACATTTTTGAATTTTGCACACACACATACATAGGGGTTTACACATTGCGTTCTACAAATGCGGTACACTGAGAGTGGGTTAACCACTGGATGTTGCACTCAAGGCCGTGCTGTAGTCTTTATCCAGAATCTCCCTATGGCACTGCTGCCAAACTCTGTAGCTTGTTGAGAAGCAGTCTTGTTGAGCAGCAGTCCATATCTGTGTACCATTGCGTTTGTAGAGCAGAGTGCAAAGAAATTAAGAAAGTAAATTATGCAAACATTTTGTTGACATCTTAATTAAATATACTATACACAGGCTTTTAGAGAGCATTCAAAATACCCATGCCTACTTCCTCCTCCATATCTTGTGTGCATTGCCAGGCAGGATTTCATTTAGATTTCTGTCTTATCATCATGAGACTTTCCACCTAAAGACATGTGCCCTTTCCTATTTACTTTCCCTCTCCTCTGGGTTCCAGCCTTAACCAGTTTCACTTCCATTGCTTCCCAGTGTGCTTTGAGCTGGTTTTAATGAATGTTTTAGTGCCCTTTGTTCTCATTAAGACTTTGCAGAATCATGATTAGGACTACCTCTCTTAAAATCTCCCAGTTGGGTGTTTCTATCCACAGCAAAAAACTCAAAGCACTACCTTTTTCCCAGCACTAAATTAAAACATCACACACAGGCTGTGAACAGTCTGATTATTTTTAAAAGCCTGAAGTCTGAGCTATTTTCAAATGGCTCATTTTTTTTTCTTCAAATGCTCTTCTTGCTTTCCCTTATAATTAGAATTTTCTCTTATAAATGGAATGTTGATTTCAAGTATTCAGTATGCTGTGATATTACCACAGCTATAACATAAAATGTAAAATAATTTCTATACTTAGAATTATGTAAAAACCACTACTTTTAATCATTATTAATTATAATTATATAATGTAATAACATTTTTCTGTTTGTTCAAGCATCTTAACCATCTGTTTAACTGACCAGCGGCAGGTTGGGGAAGTGTTTGGGCAAACTTCTTCGGCCTCAGTTCTGTGTAGTGGCATTGAAATGACACACTTCTGCTTTAAACAAGCTAAAAATAATTGCTCAAAATTCAGCCATTCTAGATTAATTCCTTCGGCCTTACATATTATGATTAATTATGCGTGAAATCATCTCTTAATGATATTAATTGATAACTGGATATCTCATTATCTTGCCTGAAATGGGATGTCAACTTCATCAACTTCACACAGCTTACTTATTTAAACCGAAAGAAAACTAAACATACTTGCTGCAGATTGTATTTCTCATTTTCCAGATGGCTTTTAAAGACGTCTTCTGTGTTATACTCTATTATTATAATCTGCCATCAGCTGTTGCTGGACAACAGCAGTTCACCTAGTTTTACATTCGAGATTTTTCTATTGTGCATTTTAAATTATTTATATTTTCCCCTTATTCTCATTCGACAGATAATCCTACCTGTGATGACCAGAGCATCTTATAAAACGTGCATGTTCTGTCTATAATTACCGTACTGCAAGATATTATTGCTGAAATCTCCCTCTTGTATGTCCATTCATTGTCGACGCATATGATTAATGAAGTTGCGTCGCGACTGAGGTTTTTCTCAGGAGACTTTTCAGTATGCAGTCTGTTTTTTTTAGAAAATTACACAGGGAAAGTAACAAGCATTTAAAGCTTTAGACAACATGCAAATTTATCTGTTAAATATTTAAATTTTTGTACTGCATTTATATTTAATATTGCTTTATTGTTTTTATTACTATGCACCAAAATTCAGACATTTTAATTCACAGGGGTTATAGCCACAATTGTTGCCCAGTAATGATTTCAGAAACTTTAGAACCATATGCATCATTTTCATTAAAATTACTGGCCCCTAAGTTTATTGCACATTTCTATTTAGCTGGACCGGCTCCGTGGGGAACTGAACCTTTTATCAGATGTGACTTTGACAAGCAATAACACAGAGCTATTAATATTTCAATATGCAAGTATCTATTGAAACGTGAGCTTCAAGTTTGACAAGAGAAACAACTTTTATACATTTTTATTAGATGTGGGGTGGAAATCCCCCGCTGCTCAAAAAAATTTCTGCAGAATGTGCTCCAGTGTACCTTCCAGCACACCCGAGAGGGCGTATTTGGGAACAGTTTTGAGGTTTATGCCAGATTTAATTTGCCATGGAAAACCTACAATCTAATATACATCAGTAGAATCTGATTTGTAATGTTCTGGGTTACAAATAATAGGGGATATTACTATTATTCAGCCAAGTAAATGGCTGTTTTCTTTATAAATAGCTCAACATTTTGAGTCATCCAGGAAACGGGGGTATTTAGCACTGTAGACCTCCACATATATGACTGTTTGTCGAATATAAATGACAGTCTGTTCCACTTCAGCCACTTTTCATTCTCATATTAAGATTAAGGGCATATTGCAAGCCTCTGGCTTTTTTTTCTCTCCCGTTTAAGCCCAATTATTTATACAGTGCTCTGTTTATTCAGAGATAATATAATTATTTCATCCAAGTCCACTTTATTAGTTGGATATGACAGTAATGCTTGAAGAAAGATGTAGATTGTATAATGTTGCCTGGCACAATTTTCTGAATGCTCGCTCATTTACTAGATGCTCTAGTAGGCATCATTCTAAAATTTTGTTGCATTCTATGTATTTCCCTGGTGTGCTTTCTAGGTGCTTATTTTTCCTTGAAAAGGAAAGAGTTTATTCTATATTCTCCTATTCTTCTTTTATTCATACTTTTCTTTGACATAATTTTTTTTTATATCGCATTGTTCAGTTTCCACACATGTATACACTCGGTCCCAGAATACATTAACCTTGATCTAACTTAAGATACATAGAGAGAAATTGAGTCAGAGCTTCTGTGCAGAATGCAGAGTTTGTGCATCTTTGCGTCTTTCACTGTTGTCAGTTTATCCCTTTCCATCAGTCCTTCTGTCCAATGCATACTTATTATTTGCTCACATCGCTTTGAAACCCATCTTCTCACTTTTTTCCCTCTATTTTCTTGTTTAAACTCAAACTGTATTTTCTTACTCTTTCCTCAAGTCTATAGTACTTCAGCAGATCTAATTTAGATATACAGTCATTCTTTTGTGCACTGCTTTTTTCAGTTTGCCTTTTCTTGTTCTCTTTGAGCTCCTCTACCTTCTTTTAATGCTACCCCATGATATTTATGCCATATTATGGAAAATAATCTCTTAACACCATTTCAAATGTATCCTATCCACTTACACTTTATTCACTCCTTCGTTTTAAATTATATTTTTTCTAAACCAAATATTAACAAATACATAGAATGTCTATTTCTACTAAGTGCAAATAGTGACAAGAGTTCAAATCCACCTCAAGTTCCTAATAAGCCAGCATTCATTTATGACTTTAATAAATAGAATCATATACACTGAATATGTAGCATCCTGTTATACAATACCCTATAATACACTGAGGTGAAAATAGTATTTGCCACTATTTGTAATAAGTATAAATATATAAATAGCATCTAACAATATTTACACTTAGTGCAAAGAAAATACTGCTATTTTCACTTAGTGTAAATAGCATCTAAAGCTATTTGCACTTAGTGCACTTAACACACAAATATCCTTTGCCTAATATTATAACATATTTTGTATACATTTTATATGTTTTATTTAAATGACCTGCTAAGTGCAAAAAGGTGGTGTTTCATGGCAATTTGATCAATAAAATGAAAACCATTTGAATAATAATGCTAAATGAAGAGAAGAAAAAAAATATTGTAAATTATGGATAATGTACATCAAAATAGCCAGTAAACACTAACATATGAGCTTTTAACGGACAATGCTGCTCATATGTTTTTCTGTAGATTTTGCTACAATGATGTGCCAGAAATGTAGGATTTGTGTGAGTGACAGATGAATGAACATGAGACTGTGCTTTGAGTAGATTGTCTCCTTTATCTTCTGCTGTCTAGGCAGAAGAACTTTGCCCGTGGCATCGAGCAGCAGCTCCCGGATGGCATGGTGGTTGCATCTGTGCCGACTGAAGCCCAGTGTCATGAGGAGCTGTCTGACCCAGTACCTGATCCAGAGTACCTGACTGGTAAGAACCTATAAATTCCTGATCAATCACTCAGCATCTCAGTGGCTAGATGTATGTATGTATGTATATATATATATATATATATATATATACAGATCTGTATTACGAGGTTTAAAAACAGTTCAAATGGATGGATTGTGTAATCTGTTACCTTATTCATTTGAGGAGCAGTGTTATTTGGTGGTGTTGGAGCTAGCAGTGTTGCATAAGCTGAGTGACAATATCTTATGATGAATATTATAACTGCTTCACTGAGGCCACCTCATGAAATAACGGGCTAAAAGGCTTTATCTTGTCAGTCAATGACTCATGCATAGAGCTTGGTGTTGTGTTCTCTGGGCTCAGAGTGCTGAGTCATACTGTGTATATTTCAATAGAAGACCAAAAAGAATGAAAACTTTGTAAAAATATTAACAAAAATGAAAGAACGAGTGCATCTTTGAATAGCACAAATATTAATATTTTATATATAGGTATATGCCAATTTTATCAAATATTTATTTATATTTCTGTTTGAGAATTTACATAAATATGAGTAATACTGGACAAAATGCATTGTTATATCCACTCATCCTTTGATATTTAAAACTATTATTTTTAGTCTCCATTTTTTGTGGCTTGCATTTTATGTATTTGGTATTGTTTTGTTTTGTATTGTTTGTTTGCATAGTGTTTTTTTTTTTCTATCAAGAGCTATATAAACAAACTGTAATTTTGTCAATCCAAGTGTTTTGAAAACTTCCTATTAGTCTTAGAGATTATAAATGTTTGTCTTGATTAAATAAACCTCTTAATCTTGCCCTTGACCTTATTTAAGTAATTCCTCTTCTTTGCTGCCAAATCCATAATAGTAACTTCCTTCACTTGGATTTCTTGCTTAGCATGATCACAAGAAATCAATTCAGCATTTCTAATGCTAAAACAGCTTTTAGAAAACAGTTCAGGTCCTGGCTTCACAGCACAGCACATATACTTGCACATCATAATACAGTACAGCCTCTAGTACTTTATTGCTTAAATAATTGTTTTTTAAGAAGGAAATATTATTCTAAATCAAGCCAAGTATTTCAGGTCATGACGCTCCACATCCATCTTCAGTGTTTGTGTTTGTTCGCATATGCTATAAATTTTCTTAAAACTTGCAAACACTCGACTGGTTCACATTATCTCCTGCCAGATCATGTGGATGATGAAGAGGCAGAAAACGGAGAGGGTATTAACAAAATCATTTTTCAGGAGCTTCTGGACGCTGCTGCCTCTGTCAGGACTCATTAGCTGACCAATCTGACTCCCCTCTGGAGTTTACTGTGGTACAATATTCTGAACGGCAGTCCCTTACCCTAAATAAACTTTTATGCTCCCGTTAATGAGAAAGAAAGGGAGGAGCGGGGAAATCCTGTACCTTCAAATGAGGCTTCAGAATGCGTCGTCTTTCATCATACTCTTCCCCTCTGGCTTCAGCCACCCATATCATACTGCCAAAGAATGAAGTATTATAGTCCTTAAGGTCTGATGTAAAATAAACAGCAGGAAAAGGCCAAACAGAATAGAAATCGTGTGTGCTTGTTTATGTTTTCTTTGTCCGGCAGCTATTGCCTGCTACAGCATGTTATGTAATTCGTATATCTTTGTGTTTCTTTATATATTATATATTTTCATGTGTATCTTGTCATAAGTCCTTGAACAGATCTGGATCATTCTTCACTTTATGCATTGCTAAAAAATCTAGACTGAATTTGTACTTAAGATGCATAATCTGGAGTTGCTACTAGGGTCAATCAACTATATATAAAAAAAAAATAATACAATTACATAACACGCTGATTTAAAATGCAAATTGCATTTATTAGCACTTGATGAGAAAAATGTACAAATTAAGACAGTAAATTCGATAATAATATAAGACAGTTTTAATTCAAAGACAGTAAAGCACTGAATAGACATGCACAGAGGTGACATAAGTCAATATGTTTATTAGATTTTTTTTATTTCTATTTATTTATTTAAATTTATTAGTAAATTATTTTTAAGTAAATTAAGATAAGGTGATTTAGTGAGGTGTATGATTGTACACAAAAAAAAAAATAATTCTTAATACCTTAAACAAATTTCCTTCTCATGTAAATTTGTCTTGTTTTAAGGATGTTTAGGTATGTTATGTCGGGAAAATTACAGTTTTTTTATTTTTATTTTAGCAGTGTAAGCAGCATGACTAAATGTGTGTTTTTTTTTTATTGTTTTATTTTATTATTATTTTTTTTTTTTTTTTTTTTTTTTTTT